CGCTTTCTGAAAAAGGAAATGATAAGGTCACATTGCCTTATGTACATCCTGCTCTCCTGTGATTGGTTCTTTTTTCTATGTGTTTCTTTACTGCTGTATGGGGTTAGTAAAGTGAGATATGCAAAATACACGCCTCCTGTCATTATTAAAATTAAGATTATTAGTACACTAAAGCTAGCATAATCTTCAATTCACCCCAGCTGCTCCCTTATAATATATGCATGTTCAGGTGAGTGCAAGTTCAAACCTTTTCTTACATTGACAAATTTGCATATATCACAACAATCACAATGCTATTTACTTGAAAAATACAGATAGTCAAGTCAAGTGATATAACGCTTTAAATATATATATATATAATATACATCTGCCCTCTTAAAAGTTTGCAATGACATCCAAATTGGCATGGAACAAGGAGACTTAACTGGATCTATTTTCCTTGATTTTGCCAAGGCCTTTGACACAGTAGACCATGGCATTCTTTTGCAAAAACTTAAAAACTCAGGCATTGGTGATTGTCCACTAACCTTGTTTTGATTGTATGTTTCAGACCGATTGCAATATGTGGCCATTTCTGATAGCACTTCCCTCCCTCTTCCAGTCATGTGTGGTGTACCCCAAGGTTCCATACTCGGCCCCCTGCTATTCACATTGTTTATAAATGATCTGCCTAACGTCTGCAAATCCTCAACTGTACACGTTTCCAGACGACACTGTAATCTACGCTAGTAAACCCAAGCTACCGCAGTTTAAGGCTGTGCTCCAAAACCAATTCACAGAGGTAGAAAAGTGGATAGCGGATAACAAACCCTTCCTAAACACGGACAAAACTGTTACAATGATTTTTGGAACTGTACCTAAATTATGTAAACTACAAAATCAACAATTGTGTACGAACAAATTCGAATAGCACACAGGCAGCAGTCTGCTCTTTTAAATATCTAGGTATGCTGCTAGACCCCAATCTATCTTTTGGCCTTCACTTTGAAAAAATCTCTTCAAAACTTTACCCAAAACTAAGTGCCCTGTACAGAAACAAATCCTGCCTAGGCCCTACAGTTAGGAAGCAGATAGTGCAACAAATGCTAATGCCGGTCCTTGATTATGGGGATGTAGTTTATGCACCCGCACCGCAAACGCACCTTAATAAACTTAATACGTTATATAATTTGTTCTGCCGCTTTGTACTAGAATGTAATTACTTTACTCACCACTGTGACATGTTAAAAGAGCTAAACTGTCTGTCGCTGGAATCCTGACGCACTCTTCATCTTTCCAGCATTGTACATTAGAGCATTTCTAGGAAGCTCCCACCTTACCTGAGCAGAATGCTCTCCCCGGCTGTTTCCACCTATAACCTCCGATCCAGTACTAGCATGATATTTAGCATATCACAATACAAAAATAAAGTGGCTCGATAATCCTTTTCCTACAGAGCACCGCAATTATGGAATAACCTCAGGGGCACAGTCAAATCTTCATTCAATCTCAAATCTTTTAGGAGATCTGTGGCAATATACCTCAGCACAGAATGCACCTGTCATGGTTGAATATATTTATTACCTGTAATGGATTACATTTATATATGTGTATATATATATATATATATATATATATATATATATATATATATATATATATATATATATATATATATATATATAATTTGTATATTGTATTTTTGTAATATTGTATCCTATTGTAAGAATACAATATTTTGTGGACAAAGATCCAGGACATACTTGAAAACGAGAGAAATCTCAATGTATCCATCCTGGTAAAATATTTTATTTTAAAAAAAAAAATGGAGAAACTATATGTATATAATAGATTTAGTTTTTCCATGAAAATTGAATATTAATATATATATGTATCACATAGGTTGACTAGTTGAATGACAAACCACAACTTTCTCAGACGAGGGAATATATTATCCCAACATAATATATGTTTTTAATGCAGAAAATCGTAGTATTGCACTGGGACTCTTAAGCACATTGAAAGCTTCTGTAGCGTTTATTCACAGTGTGTTCCAATTTGAGTTGAGCTACCACTCTTGTGTACAACACATATGCTCTACGTATATCTTTGTCCTCTGGGAGGCATAACCACCTAGTCAAATGCCAGAGCTGAAAACGCTTGCATGTGCACAGCAACAGCATTTCAGCCAATCAGGAAATCAGGAGAGCCGTGCTGAGTGCAGGAATCCTGATTGCCTCAGATTTTTTAAATGTCATCATTGATGGAGGACTCTATTTCTGTTTCTGCCACAGATTTAGTGGATGCCTCTCTTAAAAGCAGCCCCATCAATGTTAGAAAGCTCCATAAGAGAGCTTTCCTTGCTAGGAATCTATCCTCTTCATCTTCTGAGGAGGATTTGGTTCCAGTTTTAAGCAAAAAGAATAAAGGAAGGTGGCTGGTCTCTTCTGTCAGTTCCTCGTCTGAGGAAAACTTCTCTGCTCCTCCTTCCCCTCATACTCGTTTGAGTAAGTATAAAATTAAGGGGACAGGACCCCAAAAAAGGAATAGCGTGTTTCCCTTGTTTGAGCACCAGAAACACCTTCCAGAGAAAAAGGACAAATCTTGTTGGAGGTTAGATAGTCCATCTCCTTACTCTTCTAGAGCGTTAGCTCACTCTTCCTCCCAAAGCCGTTCCAGTTCCAGATACGGCTCTCCAGAAATAGACTGGGAATCCGACGAAGTGGCAAGTTCAGCAGCTTCCACTGAGCGAGGGAAGCTAAGCAATGTTCAGATGGCCAGAGTAAGTCTCCTAGGAAAGACTCTCCCATCAAAATTATTTCACTCCAGATAGGCTATGGAGCATGATTCTGAGTTTAGAGAATTCGCTAAACTAGCCTTCAGATCCCCCTTGGTTAAGGAGGATGACCTTCTCCTCAGGAACCACATTGGTAATCAGGACATTCAGGCTTTAATGGCTCCAGAGGTAGATCCTGCTCTGTTATCTATCACAGGGAGCAGCGTATCCTATGATCCCACAGACTTTTCGCAATATACAGTTCAAAATTGCAGATGCTGTGGAACCACTATTACTGATGCTGGATAAGGCAGAAAAAGAAGGCAATGCTCAGAAACCTTCTGCTTTATCTCTGTTGGCGTCTAAGATGGATCTTTTAAAAGCGTCTGGCAGGGCAGTTCTAATTATTGGCCAATCCTTTAATAACATATCAAACATCCACAGATCCCACTGGCTCCTAGCCCCCAAATCACATGAGTTCCCAAATTTGGAGGATTCTTACCTATTCGGTCACTCGTTCATTTAGGAGATTAAAGGTCATTACAAGGCAAGGAGATCCTTTTCAGAACTCAAGAAGTCTGTTACTGGCTACAAAAAGCCCTTTCGGACAGAGGGTCGCCCCTATAGGGCTGCAGGAGCGTCCCGAGAAGCCTCTCACCAGGCCCAGTACCACCACTACAGTGGAAGACACAAGCTCCCGGGTGGTGGCAGAGAAGCGCATTCCAGAGGCGGTTCAGCTCTAAAAGAAAACCCATGCATTCAAGTAAGTGTGCCTCCTCATATGCCACTAAATTGGAAGGATATTTCCTCAGACAAATGGGTTCTAAAGATTTTTCAAAGGGGTTTACAACTCCCCCTTTTAAGGTTCCCAGTCCAGAAATTTGCACCCCACAGAGATGTGAACCCAGTGCTAGATGCCTCCCTTTCCTTAGCTTTATGTCAAGGGAAGATAGAGTTGTCAGACATGTCTATTACAGGATGGGTCAGCCCAATCCCAAAATCAGATGGTTCTTGGAGACCGGTCCTAAACGTGAGGTCTCTGAACGCTTTCATCAAAAGGAAAAGGTTCAGGATGGAGGGTTTATCAGATCTTCCAGGCTTAGTACAGAAAGCTTTTTTCTGCATAAAGTTAGACCTAAAAGATGCCTTCCATTCAGTCCCCATAGCCAAGAAACACAGGTGTTTTCTCAGGTTTCAGTGGAAAGAAAAAGTGTGGCAGTGGACCGTTATGGTGTTTGGCCTATCCAACGCACCGTACACATTCTCCAGAATTATGAAATCCGTGATAGCTCATATCAGACTAAAAGGTTTCATGTCCTGCTCATGCACCCAGATGGGGAAGTCCTTGCTTTTCAAAGGGATTATCTTGCTTCCCTTTTACAAGACCTAGGATTTGTAGTAAATTTACAGAAATCAGTCCTAATTCCCACTCAAAGCATCCTCTTTCTGGGTTTTGAACCAAACACCAGGACTATGACTCTAGGAATCCCTCAAGACAAACGGGACAAATTACTTGTACATCTGACCTCATCCCTCAGGCACCAGAGTTGGTCATTGAGAGACCTAGCAAAGATTATCGGGAAATTAATAGCTATAACACCAGCATACGACAATTCCCCCTTAGTTTGCAGAAGGAGTCAGCTGTTTTTAGGGAATCGACTAAGATAGGACGGCCATTGGGAATCAAAATTCGTTCTCCCCAAGAACGTCAGAGAAGAGTTGAAGTCCATACTGGAGTTAGAAATTCCACTTGCTCGTCCCCTGTTAGAGCAGCCTGTGGCAGTCACTCTGACGTCAGATGCCTCAAGTCACCGTTGGGGTGCGTTTACAGCCCAGAACGTCATAAGAGGAATTTGGTCAGACCAAGAGAGTCACCTCCATATTAACATCTTGGAGTTAAGAGCTATAAAATTAGCTCTCCAGGGCCTAGTTCCTCTAAAACAGTCACCGACGTCGGTAAAAGTCCAATCGGACAACAGGACAGCGGTGGTTTATGTAAACCACAGAGGGGGCACAAGATCAAGGGGTCTTTGTTTAGAGGCTCTAGATCTTTGGTCTCGCCAAACTTTGTCCCTGGCAACGATTCAATTAAAGATTGCTCTATTCCAATGGATAGAAAGCAATTTTGGCCAGAGACAAGTAGATCTGTTTGCATCCCAAACATCTGCACAAACTCCCAGTTTCGTCTCACGGACCTGGACAAAGGGAGCTTGGAAAATGGATGCAATGTCTTTACAATGGACAGATGTTCCAGCCCCTTATGCTTTCCCCCTCCATCTTTACTGTTGAAAGTGCTGGAGAAGATCCGCAGGGACAGGGTGCAGAGCTTAGTTCTCGTTTATCCAGTATGGACCTCCAGATCCTGGTATCCCTTGATCCGTCAGTTAGTCAAGGGAACCAAGATCTCATTGGGCATGACAGTGGACTGCTTTCAGGGAACCAGCGATCCTCTGCTCAAGCTCCCGCAGCTGATGTGGATCGCCTCCCTGGTAGGCTGTTAACACATCCCCTTTTATCGGATCAGGTCCTGGATATTATTAACTCATCTTTAAGACGTAGAACTAGGGTAAGATATAGAAAGATGATCGAGGAATTCAAAGAATGGGAGGTTTCTGTTCTGTCTAACACACAGGGATCTGATACCGTTCCATTGGCTTTAGAATTTCTTACCCTTAAGTTCCATTCTGATTTATCGGTCAGTTAAATCAAGACCTATGGATCTGCTTTAAACTTCCTGATCCACAACCTTACTCAGGACACCCTGTATTTGAGATTACTAAAAGGGTTATCCGTCTGCCGCCCATATACCCCACGCTACACATCTACTTGGGATGTAGACATCTTATTAAATTTCCTTAATTCTTTGGATAATGCTAAAATTGATTTAAGATGGACTGCTATTAAGTTGGCTTCTCTGCTGTCCTTGGCCCTGGCAGCTAGAGGAGCATAGTTATCTCAAATCCATATTTCAGATCCTTGGTTGTCCAGGACCCCAGGAGGTTCCATGTTATACTAAAAGGCAGACAAAAAACATCCCATTTTTCTCCTGGTCTGGTAGAATTGGATTTGGTTCAAGATCCTTCCGAACCAGGCTTATGTTTAGTTAGTTTGTTACAATCGTACCTTCAACTTTCCGCTGTATTTAGAAATGATATCAGTCAATTATTCGTTACATCAAGGGATCCCTTTCGTCCAGCCAAGGTTAATACAATTAGAGGCTGGATACTTTCCGCCATGTCTTCGGCTGGTATTGATGTTTCCGTGTTCAAAAGCCATTCAAATAGGGGAGCCTCCGCTACTAAAGCAGCAGGAAAGGGCCATCCTCTCCCTACTATCTTGAAAGCTGCTAGATGGTTGTCCTGTAAAACCTTTGTTAGATTATACTGGATGCCATCAGAAGTTGAACGCCTTCAGTTTCTTAGGACCACCACCAGGTGTGTGCTATTCTACCTACTAGCTTTGCTAGGTGGTTATGCCTCCCGGAAGACAAATCAGAGTTTGCAGGAATCTATGATCTGCAAACTTTCTTTGTCTTAGGGATGAGCATAACCACCTAGCAAAAGCGCCCGTCCCACCCTCCTCTAAGTTAAGGGTTTTGCCTGCTGGTGGTAGTTTGTTTTTCTTAAACATAAGGTTATCTGGTGCTTATTCAGCCTATTGATAACTGTTCTCTGTTTTGTTTTTTACAGACTATAGCCGTACCCCAAGACAAGACCAACAAACCAGGGATCCACCTAAGTAGGAGGATTGGATGCTAGTAGTCTCGTCAGTATGATATTCTCATGGACTCCCTGCATAAAGAATATGTTTGCTGGGACAACATTTCTTTTCTCTTTATTGAACTTATTTTGTTGCAATTTATGATGAATGGTTCCAGTGTTCATTTGATACTTTCCTTTGCTATACATTGTTGCCTTGTTTTCAGCTCAGCTGTTTTTTTATACAATGTTTCAAGTCTATTTTATATGTCTTCATGATTTATTAAACATTTTGCTTGTTCCCCTGTACTATTGGCTACTTGAATTGTTTTATTTTGTGTTTAAATGTTTAATTATAATCCTATACACTTTGGGCAATATTTATCCTTAGTACTTCGTGGGATGTGCTAACCATCCGCAGTTTCCCAATTTAAAAAATCTGAGGCAATCGGGATTCCTGCGCTCAGCTCGGCTCTCCTGATTACCTGATTGGCTGAAATGCTGTTTCTGTGCAGATGCACAGCGCAAGCGTTTTCAGCTCTGGCATTTGACTCCGGGAGGCTGCTGCATACCCACTAGCTTTGCTAGGTGGTTATGCTCATCCCTAAGACAAAGAAAGTTTGCAGATCATAGACTCCTGCAATCTCTGATTTAAACACCATAAGGACCAAGATTCTTTTGTAATGCAACACATTTTTGCCATGTGTTCTTCCTACCACAAGTTCCCCCAATTCTGTTTAAGTGCACCCATACATATTACATATCATGTTTGAAAGGATAAATATGGCTTTCTTTTGATACCCTATATGTATACATAACATAATATTAAATGGGAATAAAATATAAAAAATGGGGGGAAAAAATAAACATTTTCTCAGGTTTACATTTATAATTACAATACCCCAAGTGCGACTAAAGAACCAAGTCAAAGTGATTCAATCTTTGTCCTGATTGTTAAACTTTCCAGTATATCAAGGAGATTTGTGCAAAAATTGGCATGCTAAGATTACAACTTTCATAATAGTCACAGAATCCAAAACCGCAACAGAAAAGCATATATTTGTAGAACGTATATCCCTCGAGCTATGTAACTATGTAAGAGCAATTTGACACTTTTCAGTTAACCATTTTTTTCACAAACCAAGATCAAATTAGATGTTTTTTTCCCCCCACATGCTTTATTTTGAGAATAAAACACATATGCCTCAATACTGGAAACACCCCATATTTGTATTCTGCTCCAACACTGTGCCAGGCTGGGGGGCTTCAAAATAATTTGTAAATTACAGCAGTAGTGCGATCACACTGCTGCAGCATTTTAATTATTTAAAGAACTACGACCAGCACTCATTTCACTTTGATAGCTGCTCATAGCTCTCCTATCAGTTTGGGCCATTAACTGTGCACCAACTGTCAGCAAGGCTCCCTTGGATTAAAAAGATAGCTGGAGTTACCTTTTTTTCTAATTTTGGAGACTGGAGGCAGACTCAAATATACCGTGGCTGAGCAGGATCACTTTGAGTGCTGCTCATAGTTTACCTGTCAGTCTAGGGACACTACCTGTGACCTTTAACCCCTTAGTGACCGTTGATATACCAGGTACGTCTGCCAAAAAATGGTTGTTAAAGACCGTGGATGTACCTGGTACGTCATTTAGTAGATCGGGACTTACCTGATTGCTAGCAATCCACCACGATCCTGGGGTCTTTCTGGGAGCTCAGGAAGACCCCCACTGCCCGATCCGGCCCTCCTGGGCCATGTGATCGCAGGGTCCTCGTGATCACAGGGCCAGAATAGCTGGCTTGTGCAGTGCCTGCAGGGGCTTGCATGAGCTCTCAGGCAGTCCCCCTAGTGCCTGAAAATAAAATTGAAAAGTTACTCAAAGTTAAATAAAAGTTTATGAAGTACTTAAAAAGTACTTAAATTATATATATATATATATATATATATATATATATAAAAGTAATTTTACATGCACATAAACACACATACACCATTATTAAAAGTGTATTTTTTTATTAATTATATATATATATATATATATATATATTTAATATTAGAATATACTTACAATTATGTTAATTATATATATATATATATATATATATATATAGATATATAGATATATAGATATATATATAGATCTAAGTACTTTTACATGCACATAAACACACATACACCATTATTAAAAGTGTATTTTTTATTAATTATATATATATATATATATATATATATATTTAATATTAGAATACACTTACAATGATGTTAATTATATATATATATATATATATATATATATATATATATATATATATATATATATATATATATATATATACTATTGCCTTTTTGTCCCTGCACACACTCTATCCATTATTTCAAATGCCGGGTGCATTCCAGTCAAAGTCAAATATCATACAAATTATTAAATGAAGGCTTGCACTCACGGTCTTTTTCTTGTAAAAAGTTTTTCTTCCTTTATTCCATATTCTTTAAAACATACTGTCTGTTACATTCAACGTTTCAGCCACCATCCGTGGCTTTCATCAGGATCAGTTCAGCATAACTACATTTATCACATATTACATTTATATAGCAAAATAGACCAATTATCTAATCATATTATCACTCACCACCTGGTTCGCTGCTTTCTCGGCGTCCTCCCTTTCCTACTGCGCATGTGTTACCTCTTCACCCCCGGAAGTGGCATGTTAACCCGGAAGTGACGTATTAACGTCAACCACGTTGCCTAGGTAACGAATACACATTATCGGCACCATATTGTTTATACACTGCGCTGCAGAGGGAGACAACCGAGATTGCTTACAAACAGAAAATTAAAATCATAATAAAATAAAAACTGCTCTAACCATATTGTTCCATACACTTAAGCGCTTTATATAAATTCCAATTTAATAATCTCTATACTGCTACCTCATAGCTTACTTTATTGTATAGCTCAATTAATACCATGTTATAACTACTTAATACCCTTTATCAATTAATCACTACTGTATATTATATATAAAACATTTCCTACACTATAATCTCTTAATACTTTAAGCTCTTTTTTATATATTTAAGGCAATTCACATTTATTTACCCTTTGTGTATTAGTGTTTCAATAACGTGAATCTATATATTACATTACATAAACATTAAAGTGCCAGACCTTATCTTTTCTTTTACTCTTAATATTTCATTAAAGTGATACATATACACTTATTTACACTAAAGTGTCTCGTGTGTTTTATGTACATTAAAGTGCAAAATTTGACAAGATTTTAATTAAAGTGATACTCATGCTTTTATTTACACTAAAGTGCACCCTATGTGCTTTAAAATAAACCCACTTCCTCAAAATACTTTAAAGTGCTCCTTACCATATTACTACTAATAGTATACACTAAAGTGACTCTTACATTATTATATACACTATAAGCACTGTAATGCTATATACATAAACTCATGTTCTGCATATACATTAAAGTGCCTCTATTTTATTTAAAGTGATACTTATGCTATTACTTTACTCTGAAGAGTAACCCCAATTAATTATCTCCAAATTTATATATGAAATAACTCTAATGCTATTATATACACTAAAATGCTATTAAATACTCCTGTGTTTTATATACATTGAAATGCCTCAATATTACTTAAAGTGCCCTAATATTACTTAAAGTGGTACTGACCCTCCAGGGCCATGTGATCACCATGACCACATGGCCGCAATAGAAGTCTATGGAGCTGCCATGCATATATTATATATGTATAATATATTATAAAATAATTAAAGCATTTTATAATATATTATACATATATAATGCATATATATGATTTCATTATAAGTGTACTTTAAAATATATACACATATATCTCAGAATACACTTATAATGAATCATATATATGCATTATATATGTATAATATATTATAAAATGCTTTACTTATAATATATTATTCATATATAGGAAATAAAAGTGTGTGTGTGTGTGTATATATATA